CCGGCTGAGCGCTCGGAGTCCCGGCCCGGGCCCCGCGCAGCGCGGGGTCGCGCAGTCAAGGTGGCCGGGGTGGCGCGGGCGTCGGTCCGGAGAGAATCGCTGCAGGCTTACCTGCGGGAGAGGGCTCGCTGGCTTCTCTGTGGAGTTTGGACTTTGGTGCTTGAATCGAGCATTTCCTCGTGGGGTAAGTAACAAAGACCCTGAAAAGGTCCTCTGTTAAACTATTTTTTTGTTGTTGTTAAACTCTTTAAAAGACAGGTTTTTTGTTTTGTTTTACTGGGAATTAACTGAAATACACGTGTACAAACCCCTAGTATTTTTCCCCGCTGTTTCCCCAGCACCCAGTAGTTCTCACTTCTGCTATTTCCCAAATGCGCGTTTGCCCATAGCCAAAGCCCTGAAGTTGCCTGACGCGGACTGAGTTCTGCCCGGGCCGTGCCACCTAATGCCCTGCCACTTGGCACCCTGCACTTCACGGCCAGTGTGGGGATGGAATGGGCGACGAAGGAGGGGATACAGACCTGTCTGCAGCTGTGCTGTGCGTGCGCGTGCTTGTGTGTGTGTGAATGGGCTCGATCCTCTCACACCCAGATGGATCTCATTTGCCTTTGCTCTTTGGAAGGTTCCTGCCTCGCTAGGGTGCCGCTGGGTGGAGCGTTCCCGTTTGAAGAGTGAGTGGTGGGAACGAATATTTATTGCGTAGTGACCTCTTCTGATATGCTGGCCCCGGTGCGTGACAGTTCCTTCCTTCAGCCCATCCGTTCAACTTTCCCACCAACACTGCCTGGCAGAAGCCACCCCCAGAGGGAGGGCAAGTGAGACCTTCCTGGAAAAGGGGAGGAGTGGAACTCATCAACTCCTTAAGGGAAATGTGACACCTGCCCGGGGACTGGCCAGCGACCAAGCATCGAGGTAAGTGGTGTGGCCTCCCGCGTTGTGCCTGTCCACAGGAGGAGCCGGATGTAGTTAGGAGTGATCAGAAGATGGGATCTACCCTGCATCGTGGAATTTGGGAAGGGTTTATAATGGTAAGGTGTAGACTGGCCTTGCCACGGGAGGGCAAGGAAGAATAAAGTCTGCTGATTCATTTTTGGGTTGCCAGGCCTGGGTCAAATTACTCACTGAATGCCAGGTTAAAGAATCTGGATTTTGTTTGACAATAGGGAACCACTGAGGGCTTTTGGCATTGTAAAGATAAAAGTGTGAGTTAGAAAGGTGTTCTGGCTGGGGTGTCCAGGACTTCGTGGAGGATGGAGGCAGTTAGAAAAGGAGTGCTGCCGGGTGTGGTGGGGCACACTGAAGTCCCAGCACTCAGGAGGCTGAGGCAGGAAGATTGCAGCCAATTGGAGGCCTGCCTGGGCTACATAGTGAGTTCGAGGTCATCTTGAACTATGTAGCCAGATCCTGTCTCAAAAAACCAAAGTTAGCAGTGTGGAGAGCTGGGGGCCTGAACCCTGGAAGTATGTGCAGGTGGAAAAGGGAGAAGATGCCTGTCAGAGGGTGGGTTGTTGGCTGGATTTGGTGGGGAGAGACAGAGAGAGAGAGAGAGAGAGAGAGACAGACAGACATAAGCAGTCACTAGAGCATGGCTCTTCCCATTCTGCCCCCCTGTTTTCCTTGTGTTTATGATCTGTGTTGGTGTTTATTCCTGTCTTCTTGCACAGGCAGGGAAGGTATAGGCTGCCCCCAAGATGGCCCCCAGTGAGCCCTATCTCCCCTGTTCCTGGCCTGAGTGATCTCCTCCCCTCTAGTGTGGGCTGGTCTTGGTGACTTGCTTCTAACAAGTAGACTACAGTACACGTATGAGATGTCACTTCTGAGGTTGTGGCTCAGCCTCAAAAAGGTTGTGGCCTCTCTCTTCCTCACTCTTGTGCTCTTGGCTTGCTCTCAGGAGCGCCCACTACCGCATTGTGAGCTGCTCCAGGAGAGGTCTGTGTGGCAGGGACCCTCTGCTCCTGTGCCCCTGTGAGAGAGGCCTCAGGCCAGGCAGCACCCGAGGGCCTCGGTCCAGCAGGCTTCAGGAGCTGATCCCGCCAGTAGCCAGATGAGGAAGGCCACTTTCTGGGAAGCAAGGCTTCGAGCTTCCAGTGCTCACACCTCTCCTGAGAGCCAGTGCAAATCTCTGCAAAGAAATACAAACAAAATTTTTAAAAAATCAAGGATGGCTTATCACCAGATGTCAGGGCTCTCCCATCTCAGAGAAACAAGACAGTGGTTCCTTATTTTAGCATTAGCTTACTTCTGCAGCAGTCTCCCAGTGGAGGCTATTATTTAAGACCCAGGGGGATGGTATGATAGTGTCATTTTCTTCTAGCTGGTAGGCTTTGACGGTGTAATATAGAAAAGTATGGGCTGAGACTTAGTGAGACCCTGTCTCAAAATAAAAAAAGAGCTAGGGATATAGCTTAGTGTGAAGGTCCTGGGTTTAAGCCCTAGTACTATATTAAAAAAGAAAAAAAGTTTGGCCTGAAATCTAATAGTGATGGTGATTTAGTATTTCTATAAAAGGCTTTGGATACATTGCAGTGTTTAATTGATGATCAGAACACATTTAACATTATTATTATTGGTACCAGAAATCGAACTCAGGACTTCACGCTTGCCAGGCAGGCACTGCCAGAACACATACGTTATTGTAGTTTGAGTTCTGTCCATAGTATTATAGAGTTTCTAATCAATGTTCCCCAGTTTCTCCCCTGACTATAGAAAGTATAGCAACTTTGTGACACCATAACCCACTTATATTGTAGGATCACATGGCTGTCAGTTAATTTGCACAGCCACGAGCTAGAGAATAAAGAAAATATTGTTTATCAAACTACTAGACTTTTATGCTTGACTTTGGATGGAAATTGAGGTCAGTTGGTAGTAGTATTCGGGTCAATGTAGTGAATATATATTATTATATGCCTATTTATACTAATAGCAGTATGTATGGCACATTTTGTTTATAAACGATTACTGTTAGAGGAAATAAGAATCATATACATTCTTAACAGGAATAAAGTGACCTGAAAAACAGTAATTTACAGCATGTTAGTATAACATTTGTGTGATAAACTATCTGGCAAAAGCATAGCACCCTCTCCTTCATGATTAATGTTTAGGAAGGGAAAGAAGATATAAACATCTTATTATTTTATCATCTTTAAAAAATGACCAAGTGATTGGCTTCATTAAGAAGGAGACTTTACCATAGACCAAATAAAGAAATCCCTTCCGTGGAAATGACAGTGGAAAATACGTTTAACTCAAATAACTCCTGGTTCTGGAGTGATGTGTGTCTAACATGTGTCCTGTATTCACTTAGTCTTATTCATGTGCTGTTTCCGCACAGTATCAAAGAGAGGAGAAGGGGGGTATCAGCTCTCTCAGCTGAGAGTATTGAATGCCTGCTGGGGTACCCTACATCCTACCTGGGCTGGGAGTTACCTGCGGGCAGCAAGGAGAAAACGACATACTCCGTTAAAATGAGGTGTCCCTGGAATTGTTTGATGTTCTTTGCCTTAATTGAATCCCATCTCTTCCATCTGCCCATCTTCTCTCTAAATTTGTTTCCATAACCCACTGTCCCTGAGCATTGTAATTTGGGGGGACATTTGTTACATACAACGTTACTTTTTCTAAAAGCTCTCAGCATCTGGAGGCCAAGTGTTTACCTTGCTGTCCGACAGCTTCGCCTGCCTCTTTTCTGCCCTCCCTGTGCTGATGGACAGGGCGGGGACAAGAGAGCCCAAAAGCAAATGGAGTAAGAAAGAACCGAGGAAGGATTCCCGGCTTTTGCTTATCGGTTTCCATAGTGCCTCAGCCACATGCAGGTCTGGATAAGCTTAGGTCCATCAATAAATATAACCATGAAGTTGTCACATGAAATTTGCATTCCATCGGGGACAGAGAAGCCCCAGAGAGAGTATGTGATCTGCCTTAACCTCCCCCAGCAGAGTCTTTTGTGACATTTGTCCCTTGGGCCTCCCTGGAGCTGCTTGGTGCTCCTTTGCTTCCTGCTGTAGCAGACCAGCTCCAGCCTGACTGCAAGGGTAGATGGGAGAAATGATGACCTCTTTCCAGTTGTAGAAGATCAGAGATGTTAAGTCACCATTGCCCTGCAGTCATTTTCTTAATCTTTATGAACCTCAGTTTCTGCATCTGTTAAATGGGTACTAAGTCTCTTCTCTTAGAATTATTGTGAAGATCAGGCTATAGGCATAAAGCCTGGAACATAGTAGAGAATTGTAAATGTTTACCAAGAATATTTCATGCATTACACTGTATTAGGAGAAGACCTCTGTCTGAAACTTCTGGCCAAAACTTTAGCCCAACATGTCAGCACATCAAGGTAAATATCTTTTTGTTCAGGAACAACTTTATTGTTAGACAAAGCACCTAGAAAGAGCAGTCTGGTTGGGAACAAAGCTGCGTTTGTGTGACAGTGTCAGGTTATCATAATAGTAAGCAGAATGAGGTCTCTACAAGGTATTTCTGTCAAAAAAATTCTGTCAAAAATTCTTATTTCCTTTCTTTTGTAACAGAAGCTTACAACTGAATTCTAAAAATCATATATGGACCAATTTTTTCTTAATGTAGTAAAGTATAATAGTAGGGATAAAGGGAAAATTCATTTGAATGTTACCTACATACCTGAGTAATCTCCTGTCTCCAGGTCTGACAGCATTTTTGCATATTATTGTCTATACATTTACTTCCCTTAAATATCTATTGTTGCACATGCAGATGCTGCTACCATTATGTATATGTATTTAAAATATGAATCACTTCATTCTGTGGACATTTTTCTACAACTTTCTTTTTTTGTACATACACTATTATATATGTTATGAGTTATATCTAGATCCTCCCAGGCCTCATGCAATCATAAGTGGGACTTTTGAAAGGGAATTGGGTTATGGGGGGCGGTGCTTATAGCTGACTTGTCGTTAGGAGGTGGGGTCTGGGTGACAGAAGGTGGTCACTAGAGGTGTGACCAGGAAGGACCTATCTCCCTGCCTGACTCCTCCCTTCATCTCTCTGTTCTTCCTAGTTGCCATGGGAGGAACAGCTTTTCCTGTACAATGCTCCACTGCTATGCTCTCCTGCCTTGAAGCCAACCATGCAAGGACTGAAACTTCTAAAATGTGAACCAAAATAAACCTCTCCTCCTTTAAGTTGTGTCAGGTATTTTGTCCCAGCAATGAGGAAAGTGACTAATAAGGATTTTGATACCAACTGTTGGGTTATTCCTGTGAATATACTGACCATGCAGTTCAGAAACCTTTGGAATGGGTTTGCAGAAGGAATTTGGAAAGATTTAGAAATGCCGGCTGGACAAGAAACCCTAGAACGCTGTAAGCCAAACTTAATAGGAGGTTCTAATCTGAGCTCAAGACCAGACTGCTATTAGAAATGCAAATGGTGAAGACTAGGCTCAGGAAATTTCAGTTAAGAACAAGGACTCCATTGGCAGTTGGACTCCAGGCCGGGTGTGATATGTTCTGGCAGAAAATTTGTCTACAGTTTGCTCATGTCCTGAGACTTTGTGGGAGATTGAGATTAAAGGTGGTGGACCAGTTCATCTGGTGGAGGAAATTTCAAGGCAGCCGAAGTTCAAATTGTATGATTGATACTGCTTGTGGCTTTTAGCTAGGTTTACTCTGAAAATCAGGAGCAGAACACCCATTTCAAAAAAAATTCAGTTTCCCTAGAAAGGAGGAATCTGTAAAGTGGGAACAGAGGAGAGCCTGGTTGCTGAAAAGATTAGCATTGAAAAGAAGCCCAGTACTTTGGATCAGAACAATAGGAAAAATGGCTTGAGGGTATTTCAGGAATCAGCAAGGCCTCTCCTTTCACAAACTCAAGGGTACAAGTCTGTAAGACTTTGCCTTGAGAAGAGGGTCCTAGAGCACCCTATTTGAGAA